GGCGTAGCGACCCTTCCCGGCGCCCGGGGACATACTTTCAATTTGGCGCCCCTCCTTCGGTAGCAAATTATCGATTTGCACCCCCCCCCCCCCTCGAACGTTTCATTTGCACCCCCCCTCAAACTTTCGATTTGCACCCCCCCCCCTCGAACGTTTCATTTGCACCCCCCCTCAAACTTTCGATTTGCACCCCCCCCCCTCAAACTTTCGATTTGTACCCCCCCCCCCCCTCGAACTTTTCATTTGCATCCCCCCCCCCACTCAAACTTTCAATTTGGCGCCCCTCTTAAGGTCGGCGCCCGGGGACATATGTCGCCCCCCCCCCTCGCTACGCCTCTGCTTCTAACCCGTATGTCGAGTTCGAATTCAGGTTCAAGTCAGTAGAACGTCGCTGAGTCCACCCAGCTCTGATGGGTACCTAACTCACGTTAGGGTAAATAAAGGCGGCTGGGCATAGTACTGACCATACTATCCCTTCATATGCCGAGGTCACAGAAACAGGTGACCTCTACTTCAGTCCACTCCATTGGGAAGATGTCGAGTTCATGTTTCATGACCTCGGCGTATGAAAAGATGGTGTGGTTTGCACTAAGTCAGGTACCCATCAGAGCTGGGTGGACTCAGAGACGTCCTACCTTCACAAGTCCGACCTTCAAGTTGAACGTTCTACCATTCAACCACGTCAAAACCGGCCTTAATCAGTCCCGCCCCCCCCCCCCCCCCCATTGTTGTTTAGTCTTCCTGTCTTTTATTTTACCTGGCACAAAAGTAGTCGTGAATCATACCTTGAACCTCGGGCAGATGAGGCTCGTTAGCTGGGGACAGCAACTCTTCTAGAAGAGACAACTCCAAAATCAAACAACTGCTGCCTTGTAGTTTGTTCTTGGTTGGACAAAGGCTATGGAAGCAAATCCAAAAAGAAAAGCAGGCTGAAAATCGGAGTCAATGGCCTAAATGGCGCATAACCAGTTGACACATATGCTTAATTGTGATGGAGGCGTGGTCGAGTCGACAAAAGCTCATGGTTTATAAATTCGAAAAAAATCTTGAGCAGATAAGGCTCGATACCTTCCAACACTAAAAATTAAGAACGAAGAAGAAGAAGAAGATACCTCGAACCAGAGGCGTCTCGACTCGTTCTGGCATCCGGGACTAACTGTTAACGTTTGCAACCCTTCGCCATGAAACATCAATCCCCCCACCCCCCTCCCCCGTCTCCCAATTAGAACAGGTGGGGATCGCTTTATACCAGTCACTGTACATTAACGGTTTTTTTATGTTGGTGTCACAAGTGATGTTGAAGAAAGTTAAATTAGCCAGTAAAGTCAAGTAACTGTCTATTTTATTAACTTCGAATGTGTATAATTTAGCAATGTAGCTCAAAATTAGCTTTTTTTTTTAAAAAAAAAGTCCCTACCTCGTTCGGTGCCCCTCTATTTTCGGCTCCCGGGGCGCACGCCCCACCCGCCTCCCCCTAGCTACGTCTCTGCTTGTAGTATGTCACATTGGAAGGCGTGGTGAGACGGTAGAGCGCACGATTACCAACACGAAAGTCTAGAGTTCAGATTCGGGTTTAAGTCCCTTCCAGTGTTTCTTTCAGATTTTTTTTCTCCGGGGGGGGGGGGGGCACTTGATATTTTCGGGGAGGGGGGACGTACTACATTTTCCGGAGGTGGGGCGGACACTGGTAAAAATATATATTTAGTATATAAATTCCATTGCTTCCTGGGGGGTAGACTTTCTTCGGGGTGCGGAGACCCCCCCCCCCCTGAAGTAATGCCTGGAAGAAACTCTGGTGCCAGCTCCGAGAGGTAATTGTCCAACTTTAGGGAAGGTTAAGACGGCTGGACATAGCGCTGACCACCCTCTTCTTAAATATTACGAGGTAAAAATCACAACATGTGAACAACTTGGAACACCAGGGTCAATAGGGTACATTTTCTTTTAATGAGTCAGAGTGGTATACCTCACGACCGCTAACCCGGAAGTCCCAAGTTCGAAACCCGGGGCGTGGGTCGTGGTATTACACTTTATTACTTATTTACATGAAGTTAATTCCAAATGTTTGAAACAGACACAGAATGCGAAGGCAATACCCGAACCTGCCCGCCAACTGAGGAAGACACTCCAAAAGACTCTTACAAAATAAACATAACGTACACGGAGACGTCGTATGAGACACCAACTGAATCCACCACAAACCCGGTGACTTCATGTCTACAGAAGAAACCCCCGCCACCCCCGCCACCCCCACCTCCACCAAACAAGTCCTCCAAGACTCTAGCAGACGTCAACAGTGTTGTCTCTGTTTGCATCTTTTTACTACTTCTCGAATCGCATGTAGTAATTCATTTTCACTTTTCGCTGTCCTGAGTCAGTTATGTTGGTACATTTTTCCCAAGTTTGGTTAAGCTTTTGGGGTTTTTTGTTATTTTTTTTTCTTCTACTTCTCAAATACAATCTTGCAATAATTTATTTTCCCATTTTTATCAAGGTTTAGATACGTTTTTGCAAAGGGTTACCAACACCTATAGATGCAACTTTTTGTGAAGATATCAGATATTGAAAAAAAAAAAACTCCCACTAACGTCATGCTAGTTGGACTTAAACGTACCTCAGATTAGTTTGTCAAAGAAGAAATGGCCTAGCTGTTGAGGGCATGGGCGGGTGATGAAAACCAAAATGCTTATTTCTAAACCTAATGCTATAATATTTAGCTTATAGTTATGACTCAAAGAGTTGAGTCTAAATATAAAATAAAAAGCTCCATTTTAACTGTAAAAGAAAAACTACAAATTTTCAACAATGTGTTCTATCAGTTTTGTTTGTATATGTATATAGATTAGCTAGACAGAATTTTTATCGATTTTAATAATAATTAAGAAAGTTATTTCAATGTTAAAATTGTTTTTAAAAATCCAAGCTGGCCGCGAACACCATGAAAACGGTATTTTATTTTTGGCCATTTTTATTTCGTTGTGTATTTTTTGACTTAACTCTTTGAGTCATAAATAAATGCTAAATAAATGTAGCATTAAGTTAAGAAATAAGCATTTTTGTCACTTTGGTTTTCATCACCCGCCCTTGCCCTTAATTGGGATATTAAAATATGCTAATCAAAACCCGGGAGCTTTTAAAGTAATCTAGCATAGTATAACTATTTAAGTAGCAATAAGACGTTGATTTAATTACGTTTCACAATGATAGTATAGAAGCTTGGATTCCTGGGCTTTGTGAATCTCAAGATTCCAAATTAAAAATTAAATATTTGTTGAATTGTATCGTTGTTCTGCTTTTAAGATGTTAATTTTTAAGTCATTTTTTTTCCAGCTGTTAAGATGAGTTCATTTTTAATAATTTCATATCCCATTACAAAATTACTCAGTTTTAATTAATTTTGAATAATAATGGGATAATAAATATTTTTAAGTCATTTTTTTTCCGCTTGTTAAGATGAGTTCATTTTTAATAATTTCATATCCCATTACAAATTTACTCAGTTTTTATTAGTTTTGAACAATAATGGGATAATGAATTAATGTTTCAGTCATTTTTTTTAAATTTACCATCATAAATCACGAATTTTATTACATCATGAATGATACTAATGTAATACATTAATTTTGTTACTTTATATAATACCATCACAAATCATCAATTTTATGTCAATGTGAAAGAAATTGGACTGTGTTGATGAATTAATTTTTAGTCAATGTAATGTCAGTTTGTAAAAATCCTTTTTTCTGTCTTTTTTTTTTTTTAATTTTCCACTATAAATCACCAATATCATTACATTATGAATGATAATAATGTGATACATTAATTTTATTTATTTATATAATACCATCAGAAATCATCAATTTTATTTCATTGTGAAGGAAATTGTACTGTGGTAATGAATTCACTTTTAGTCAATGTAATGTCTGTAAAAACATTTTTTTAAAGAATCGAATGCATTTACTTTTACGTGTTTGAAGCATTAATATTGGCTCACATTTGCTCGCACGCTGATACAATATCTATGGAATGAACTATGTATTTGATTATGTTAAGCTGACCAAATGAGTTGTGGTATTTAAAATTTGCTGTTTCAAAGACTTCATATTTATCTTTGCTATCCATAGTTTGCAACTGGAGGTAACTGTTTTTCTTTAGCACAGTAAAGTTTATAAAACGGCTTAAGAACACAATTGTAATTATTTGCCGTTTGTTTATTGTATTACATTGGTTGTTTCATATTACATTCTTAATTATCAATTTCAATAAAAATTTACAGTTAGAAACCAACCCAGAGTATGGCTCTTTTGTATTTATCTATATATATAATTCTCTTCTTGGATACCCGTTAAAATCAACCAAGCTGTTAGCGCGCCTAGCAACCCCCTCTCTTACTCTCTAGGCATATCGCTACCACCCCCATCCCCACATGGTCTGATGAGCTGTGGTTCACGCTAAATGTTTACAATCGTAGAGCCGGGTTTAGTGACGTTTATTAGGGGCAGATAATTTAGTTTGAAACGATTTTAAACTTAAGGGAGATAACTAAGTGGAGACTGCTTTCACGGGGGGGGGGGGGTGAGGGGTTGGGGGGGGGGGGTGAGGGGGGTATCGTCCTTAACGAGCTACTGATAGTGTTTTAAAGCAAATATTTTCAGTAGCAGCATTGGTACTGTCGAATTCACAAATTATGAATTACTGAAAAGTAGAAAATAAAACAACTAAATAGCAACGTATGATACGCCGCGGGTCGGCTCGTATAACTAAATACATGTTTAGTGTGTTAGTCGTGGCATGTCCTTATACTAGCATTGGGGACGTCTGAATGATATCAGCGCGGACCTAGACACAGATATTGCATAGCCCACGCACTTCAGAGGCGTGGCGACACATTCCGGCGTCCGGGGTAAACAATCAATGTTTCACCCGCGCCCACCCTTTATATATACATAATAATTCAAGATGGTGAAAATACGCCCTCCACCCCCTGCCAGATGCAAAGGTTGTACTTCAGTAGAATAAAATTATCGATTTAGCTAAGTTAAAGCTTGGTGTTATATTTAAGTAAACCAACAATCGCAGAGGTCTCGAGTTCGAATCCGGGTTCAAATAAGTGGAACGTCTCTGAGTCGACCCAGCTCTGGTGGGTACCTAACTATCGCTAGGGAAACAAAGGCGGCTGGCATAGTGCTAACCACGCTATCACTTCATGCTGAGGTCTCTGAAGCAGATGAACTCTATTTCACTTGCCCCATATGTCTTGAGCCCATACCGGAAATGATGATGATGATAATGATGATGATAATGATAATGATGATGATGATGATGATGATGATGATGATGATGTTGATGTTGATGTTGATGATGATGATGATGATGATGATGTTGATAGTGATGATGATAATGATGATGTTGTTGACGATGATGATGATGATTATGATGATGATGATGATGATGATGATGATGCTGTTGTTGCTGTTGTTGATGATGATGATGATGATGATGGTGATGATGATGATGATGATGATGATCACGATGATGAGGATAATGATAATGATGATGGCGAAAAGTATTTTATTAATTAAAGGGTTGGGATACGATTCCTTGACGCAACATTTTGAATACTATCGTGTCTATTATTACAAAAATTATACAAGGAAGGTGTTGATTGTTCTAATCCAATCTAAAACAATGTCATTTTGAAATTGTTATTGTGCATAGCAAAACCCAGACGTGCTGTGTTTGACTTTGAACTGATAATGCAACGCTCAACATATGCGCAAGGTTCTAACTGGATTAAAGGGACATAACTGTGTTGAAATGTTGTAGTTTTATCAATCTGGATTACAGTTTTTGTGAGTTCGATGTGACTGAATAATTTTGTTTATATTTTAAAGGATAAAAGTATTTTAACATTTTCAAACACCGTGTATGCCTGCAATTGATACATATGACGTTTAACTATGTGAAAAGTGAAAAAAATAGAGCACTTTATTGTAAAGAATTGTAGGAGCGACATTAAGTTCACCTAGTACCTCATGTTAGTGGCGTAGCGAGGTCGGTGCGGTATGTTAATGGTGTCACCCCCCAGAGGGGAAAAACTTTCAAACTTTCGATTCGCACCCACCCCCCCTCAAGTTTTTCTCTATATATTTTGCTATTTTTTGCCTTGGTGTTACCCCCCTAAATGGTGTCACCCGGTGCGGTCCGCACCCCGCCCCCCCCCCTCGCTACGCCTCTGCCTCATGTGGTATCCAGGTTACAGTTTTAAAGTTGAATAACTATCAACGAGTCAGTCACTTGGGCATGAACACTCATAGTAACAACTATCAATCTACACACACAAACATTTTGGAATTAAAAACGTTTTTTTTTTTTTTGTAGAGTTTTGAGACATCTGGAATGCCCCACCCCACGCATTACAAGATCTGGCGTCATAATTAGACCTGCTACCTCTGACGTGTAATGGTTGCTCGGATGAAGTTGGACACGGTTGGCTAAACTCTAGCCCACTACCCTTGAGATTGTTGGCTTAAACCAAGCCGTCTGTAGCCGGAATCATCAGTATAGCTGTGTTGTATTTTCGCTTAGGGTCCAACAATACACACTGTGGTGACTCAAGTTTAAGTTATAGAGATCAAGTAGAAGATAGCAGAAGCAGAGAATAGCGTATGTTATAATTGAGTCCATTGTTGATGCTAGAGGGTTATTCCCCCCCCCCCCCCCACGTTTCCCGCTCCCTACCTGAACTGGGACAGGCGTAACCTGATAGGAAGGCATCCCCGTCCCACCTAGCTATGTGCAGGCTAAGGCGCCCGACCCTCTACCTCGCTGGATTGCCGTGGTCAGGCAGGGATTAAGGTTCTAGGGGGTGAAGCTTGGGTCGGAAGAATGAGTTAGGAGAGTTGAACGTTAGCCTTGTGAGAATGTAGACGTGTTTTGTTTTGTAAAGTGTGGTAGGGCTGGACACTTAGGCTGGCTGCTATTGATGAACAAGTTCTCCTCCTTTTTAGACCATACTAAGACTATCATGTAGTGTTTAGTTTCATCATCTATCAAATTATAGTTGCTGTGTTGAGATTGTGTTGATGTGTTTTCTTTAACCTCTCACTACAGTCATCAGTACCAACCGTACTGATGACTTCAAAACATTTTGGTGGAGCAGCAAACCAAACTGACTTTATAACAGCGTAGTCAGGTAGACCAATCGAATTACAATTAGATGACCGGTTACGTGAGATGGTCAGATGACCAATGAAGCGTGAGTCAGCAGTTAGAGATAGGTAGCGCTAGTGGATAGATGTAGGAGTTAGAGGTAGATAGTGTTAGGGATCATCATGGGAGTGTGTAGGGATAAGTCAAGTGTTAGATAGTGTTAGGGATGGTCATGGGAGTGTGTAGGGATAAGTCAAGTGTTAGATAGTGTTAGTAGATAATAAAGGACGTAGTTATGGTAGGAGTCGATGTCATGTGTAAATAAAGAAATGTATTTTATTTAATTGG